TCGGCCGACGGCGGAGCTGGGTGGTTGTCTTGGTTGACTTGGAAATAGTACAAGATGTCGCCCGAGTGCAACGCGACGACACCCATGGCCAAGCCGGTTTCGGACGACAGGTACTTGTGCATGTGGCCAGGGGCGAGGACAGATCGAAGGGCCGCAGAGTCGGATGGAGAGAGAAGTCCGAGGAGCTCGTAGCTGCCGACAGAAAAGATCGACACGTCGGGGTTCATCCACGCTCGAGTGGGGGACCGAGCGCCTTCGCACCCCGCCACCAGGTCGTACGTGACGTCGGTGTCGGGCAGCACGATGGCGTCGCCGTCAAACGAGAGCTTGGCTTGGGCGACGGTCTGTCGCCGCATGGCCTGGATGAACGGGAGTCGACTCACGATGTACGAATCGGGGAGGGTGCAGTCAGAGAGGTGCATGCCGTTCGCGTCAAAGTAGCGGACGGTGTGGATTTGGACACAGAGAGGTGCGACGGCGTCCCAGAGGCGGAGTTGCTTGAGGCCCTGGACGCCGTTGCCGAGGAGGAGGAAGGCGTAGCCTCCACTGGCGGAGTTGGCGTGGCTGTCGATGACGTCGACGTCGACGCCTTGCTGGACGAGGGCGTTGGCGAGGATCGTGCCCGCCACACCAGCTCCAGAGATCATGGCTCGCATGGTAGAGTAAGTCGACGTGGGGTTCGAAGTGAAATGGACAATGAGTCGGCAAGCGTTTTCGTGTTTTGTCGCATTCATTTCCACGCGTCGAGAATCGTGGATTCAAATTGCACTCTTTTGTCACGTTGAAACGGTTGTCAGAAAGGATGTCGTCAGTTCGTTCGGGTCTGTCCACCAATCACGTCAATTTTGAAACATTTCAAATTGGTTGTGGCCAATCGGATCTTTTCCATCAATTCAACGATTCCAGCCAAATTTGTCGTACGGTTTCGTATTGATTGCTTGGATGACAGTAGAAGATGCGGCGACTGAGAACACATTGACGGCGCGACAGGACGTTCGCGAGCTTGGCGAATCCATCTCGCGTCCATGCGTAGCGTGCGTAATGAAAGCCAACCACCCAACACCGCCGCCAGGTTATCCACAAGTTGTTCGAATCGATCATCTGAACTCGTGTTTTGGTTGGACAGTCGACAAAACATGGTGGCGGCCGTTCCCAAGCCTATAAATACATCTCGGGTATTGAGATCGTCGATTCGAACACTTTCTTGCTGGACTCGGTGAGCGGGCGGTACTGAATTCAACGTGCTAGCGGCTGCCTATTACGCACGCTACGCATGGACGCGATGTGCTTCCTCAAGCTCACGAACGTTGTTATATGAAGATTTCTCCCCCTTGCCAGACTTCCGCCGTGTTTCACAATGCAGCGAGACACGGCTTGACAAATTTGACTGGATTGTTGGG